TGCACTTCAGATCACATTTAAATTGATTTCTCTGACACATTATTATTAAAATCAGGTTAAGTTACCAAACTATCAGCTAAATTCTATTAAATATTCAGCAGAATTGTTGTTTGACAACTTATAAAGAGATCTGCAATCTTCAAAGTTTTTCTGAACTATAATTTTTTTTTAAATTATTACCTATATAAGGTACTTTATTTCTATTATTCTGTTGCACTCCTGACACTCAAAAATATATATCATATCAAAACAGTTATACATCATCAAAATAGCCCATGATTTCTAGATGAAGTGTATATACCTTTCAGATTTAACGTTTTAATTTCATTTAAACAATATTTTTGAACTTTTCCATATCTATTACTTATTGTATACAGAAGTTCAAGTCTCATCACATTACGCTACTATTTTTTTTTAAATGGCAGTCTTTGCTGTTTTAGAATGGGCTGAATTTTGTGACTTGATGTGTAGAATATTACTGCAAAATATCTTTGGTAAATCTCAAGTATTAAAAAAATGACGTTAAAAAAAGATGCCCAAATTGTCAGGAGTGCAACACTTTTTTGTGACATTCTAAAAAAATACTTTTTTTTTAAAGACACAGCAAATTGTTGTCTGAAGATTCTCATTTGTTTTACAACTATTATGTCTTAGTGATGATTTAAGCTCAGAATGAAGCTTTTCCATTAAACCATTTTGATACAGATGTGTTTAAAAAAAGTAGTGCCCTGTCAGGAGTGCAACACAAAAATTAGTACAACTGAGGAATAGAATGATTTTTGAATATATGAATCACACTTAAACATAAACAAAAGTCAATCCTGTAAAAAAGATATGTCCTTTCCAGAATAAATACTTTATTAACCTGATTATTGATAAAAATAATGTGTGATAGTCAAGGAAAAAAGGCGTCCCTATAAATGTTAGGAGTGCAACTTTGAAGTTTAAAGACTCACACTTAATAAATACAAAAGCCAACATATTGTTCTGTTTTATTTTTCAAAAAATACTATACTAGATACAAGATTGCACCCAAAGAGTAGCCTGATAAACAAGGAATTTATCTTTTTGCGTCATTACTTTGATGTCAGGAGTGCAACAGTTTTAAAATGTTATTTTGAACATAGGGGTAAAATGTAGATTTTGGCTTATATCTCTGAAACCAAAGCATTTAGAGCAAATGTGACATGGGGTAAAATTGTTTATCAGGTCAAGATCTATCTGCCCTGAAATTTTCAGATGAATCTGACAACCTGTTGTTGGGTTGCTGCCCCTGAATTGGTAATTTTAAGAAAATTTTGCAGCTTTTGGTTATTATCTTGAATATTATTATAGATAGAGATAAACTGTAAACAGCAATAATTTACAGCAAAGTAAGATCTACAAATAAGTCAACATGACCAAAATTGTCAATTGACCCCTTAAGGAGTTATTGCCCTTTATAGTAAATTTTTTACAATTTTCATAAATTTTGTAAATTTTTGTAAATTTTTACAAAATATTTTCCACTGTAACAACTGGGCCAAGTTCATTATAGATAGAGATAATTGTAAGCAGCAAGAATGTTCAGTAAAGTAAGATCTGCAAACACATCACCATCACCAAAACACAATTTTGTCATGAATCCATCTGTGTCCTTTGTTTAATATGCACATAGACCAAGGTGAGCGACACCGGCTCTTTAGAGCCTCCAGTTTCAAAACACATCTGTATCAAAATGGTTTAATGGAAAAGCTTCATTCTAAGCTAAATTTATCACTAAGACATAATAGTTGTAAAACAAATTAGAATTTAAGGCACATACCTCCATACAACAATTTGCTGTGTCTTTAAAAAAAGTATTTTTTCAAAATGTCACAAAAAAGTGTTGCACTCCTGACAATTTTGGCATCTTTTTTTAACGTCATTTTTTTAATACTTGAGATTTTCCAAAGATATTTTGCAGTAATATTCTACACATCAAGCCACATCATTTGAAATTACTTTATTCAATCAAATGATCAGTATGATTGATAAATATTGCTATATATGCAGGGAACCATTTATTTTGACTTTGACCCCATACGAATGTTTATTGTTTGTTCTTTCAAATCTTAAAAAAAATTGAAGCAACACTGCCACATTTATAATAATTACGTTTGCCTTGGTTTTTGGTTAACTGCCTACAGCGCTTACAGTGCTTTGATTTCTTCTTTTTATAAGCTCTGTCCCTTCTTCTTATAAGTCTTCTCAAGTCTGTTATTATCCATAGGCAACCATCCTTTTTACGAGCAGTCTTGGTTGGTATATTTTTATTAACGCTATCTTCTAGTGATGTTACAAATAGGTTCCAGATGTCATTTACAGAGGATTTTGGCTGTGAATTTGATATTGTGAAGGTCGTCTTTCACATTTTGCCATTTTTCCTTTTTGTAAAGGAAGATCTTTCTTGGTGTCTGTTGTAATTTTGCTGGTATTCTGTCCACTTCAGTATAAACAATGTCATGGTCGGACAGGCCAGGTATCACATCTGTTCTCCTAAAGCTACCTGGGTAATTTGTTATAAACAGATCTAAGGTGTTAGTTCCTCTTGTTTGTTCATTAACTATTTGAGTTAGCCCATCATGCCACATGCTTAAACCCGTCGCATTTTTGCACCTGTCCCAAGTCAGGAGCCTCTTGCCTTTGTAAGTCTTGTATGTTTTTTAAATTTTAGTTCATTTATATGTTTCGGAGTTTAGTGTAACGTCCATTTTCACTGAACTAGAACACATTTTTGTTTAGGGGCCAGCTGAAGCCTGTCTCCAGGTGAGGGATTTTCTCGCTGTGTTGAAGACTGATTGGTGGCCTTGGGCTGTTTTCTGCTCTTTGGTCGGGTTGTTGTCTCTTTGACACATTCCCCATTTCCATTCTCAATTTTATTCTTCACATTTGTAGCTCTACTCATGCTGATGTCAAATTACTTATATCCCTCTTCAACGGATGTTTTGGGATTGTAAAAGGATGTTAGGTGTCCTACTAGTTCTAGTTTGCACCAGACAATTTCACAATCTGTTTGTAGTTCTGTAACTGGTGAGCTGATCAAGTTGTCACATACTGTAACTAGAACCCCTCCACCATTCAGGTTCTGATCGTTCCTGTATATATGTTGTATCCTGGTGGAAAAATTTGTCTGTCTTTAATGCTTGAACCGATCCACGTCTCAGTTCCAAATATGATATCTTGTTTGGTACTATCAAGCATATTGTACAGTTGGCCTTGCTTAGTTTTGATAGATTGAAAATTTACATTTAATAAGCGTATTGTGTTTGTGGTATTTGATGTTGCTTTAGATTTCCTGGTATTATCTGGAGTGGATGAGTGCACAGGCCTGAGATTTCGTGTTGGAGTTGGGCTGTCAAGTGTTGTGTCTGATAGAATGCTGAAATGATTGGAAGTACTGAAGACTAGTGAGTAGCAGAATGTGGAGTAGTTTGGACATTCACACATTATAGAGTCCCACGCAATTCCTGAATTGTTGACATGTTTTAGGTAATATTTGATGTCTATGGATTGGCAGTGGGCATGATACCACTGGTTACATTTATCACAGACAATTCCCTTGTCGTCCCATGTGACTGGTTTGTCACATGTTCCACATGGATATATAGTGGAATTATTTTCTGATCTTGAGCAGTTTCCTGTTGAGCCAGGATTTAATTCAATATCATTTGAAACAGTAAGAAGAACTATTGACATGTATAATAACAGCTTTCCTTTGTGATTCAAGTTATTCTTTATCATGTTTATGTAGTAGTTTTTGTACACAGTGTATAGATGCTGGTTTATGGACAGCAGTTTGTCATTTGGCCTATCTGTTGTTTTTGTTGGGGATATACATTGTATGGTATCCAACTGACATCAGAAATAGAAATAAAATCAGGAGTGACATTGCTTGGTTGATGAAGAAGGTGGTGATAAGATGAACTCACCTACACACCTTGCTTAACTTCCGCTTGACTGTTGATCTGTCAAAATTTTATTTCGTAATTGCTGCCATTTTGTTCTTTGTTTACATAGGTAACCACACGATCGAAGATTTCAGTGTTGATAGACAATGATAGGATCTAATTTCTATGTAGAAAGTGATCTGATTGGAAAATTGGAACTACCTTACCCTCCTGTAAATAAATTGATTAATTTTCTAAAGGATACAAACAATTTTCATAAATTTTTCTTGCAGTGAGAAAAAGGATACGTCTGTTATTGGCGCATGCGCACACCCTTTTTTTTCACAGTAGATACTAACTTAGCCAGCTGAAATGGTTGAGTTAGGGAAGTACATTTCTATCAATTATTTTGTAGCAGTTACTTTTTTGCCCATTGACAATGTGGGGGCAAGGGTTGTGAGGTTGCTCACAAAGGTTCTTTAATTTGAAATTATGACACATTTTCAGTACTAAAATGGTTTTTTTTGTACATTTTCTTTACTGCAGTTACTTCTAGAGATGATGGGGTTATTAATTTTAGTCAACTAAATAAAGGCAATAGTAGTATACTGCTGTTCAATAGTCATAAATCGATTTAACTGAAACAAATCCGGGTCACAAAGGAAAACTGAGGGAAACAAATCAACTATAAGAGGAAACAAAACGGAACAACAGAAACACTGAACTGCTACAAAAACAAACGCCTCATACATAGAAACAGACTATGTGATAACAACTGCCATATTTCTGACTTGGTACAGGACATTTTAAGAAAAAATGGTGGGTTGAACCTGGTTTTATGGCTAGCCAAACCTCCCGCTTATATAGCAAAGTTAAAAATACCGCTAAAATGACACTATTACGTGACAGGAATAAAGTACAAATAAATACAAGAACATTCAGTACAGAGAAATACATAAATAAATAATATAATAGTACATTTCAACATGTAAACCACAAAATAACAACGAACACCTTAAATTAATTTACGACAGAACAAAATTCCATACATAGCCATTATATTAAATATATTTTATATAATTATAATTACAGGATGAATTTTTAGATGTTATATACTGGATGAGACAGATTTTAGGATTAATTCTTGGAATTGTATGGGGGCTGATACCTCTGAAAGGAATTATTGGTCTGGTTCTGTAAGTAATATCAAAGATATAGTTATGTATCATCTTATTAATTGTTTGACATTCCAAAGATAAATTGATTGACAGAGATCATGGTGATGAATCCATGTTATCAATACTATTCAATTTCTTTGTTTAAAAACAATCTGTGTAGGAATCACCTTGGTAAGACTTGATTTATTTAGATTGAAAAGTTTTATTTGATTCTGAGTAAACAGCATCGAAACACTGTTAATGAAACACATGTGTACCTATCCCAGTGAAAAATATAACAAATGGTCTTTTGGTATACTTAAATAAGAAGATGTGGTATGATTGCAAATGAAACAACTCCCCTCAAGAGACCAAACGACACAGAAATTAACAACTATAGATCACTGTACAGCCTCCAACAAAGCCCATACCACATAGTCAGCTATAAAAGGCCCTGAAATGAATGTAAATCAATTCAAACAAGAAAACTAATGGCCTAATTTATGTACAAAATAATTAACGAAAAGTAAATATGTAACACAGCAACAAATGACAACCACTGAATTACAGGCTCCTGACTTGGGACAGGCTCATACAAAATGTGGCAGGGTTGAACATGTTTACATTTAAATAAAAGGATTTTCTTTGAAAGGGGAGAAAACTCTAGATATTGATTTGGTTAGTATGGCCCTAAATCTTGCCATAAACTGCATATATGATCATAGTTTTTGCCATTTATGAGTTTTAAAATAATTGGTTTTTCCTATTTCAGATTTTTGGCAGTAAATGTTGGAATTGTGTACTTTTACTATAACAGTTTCCAGAAGATAGATGATGAAGAGTATGGTGGGCCATCAGAGATATTAAAAGAAGGATTAATGACATCATTTTCAACTTTTGTAGTAAGTATTTTTATAAGGAGGCCTTTTAGAAGAAGGTGGTAAATCCAGATTTTTTTCTTGCTTTGTCATAAATGCTTTCACTAATATGAGATCCATGTAGTTATTGATTCAAGGCCATATAACTAATGTCCAACAGATACAGCAGGTCTGACCAGACATCTGAAGATCATATTTAGGACTTCAATTTTTCATTCCAAAGAAAAAACTTGAACATTTTTCTTTTTTTTTAATTTAATTCTCAAACAACTAGCCGGTAATTCAACTTGTCCCATAAGTCATGCAGACACTTTCTGGACTAACAAAATTACGAAGTTCACTGTATACATTCATTATTGTTGTTAAATATATTTTTGAAAAACAGCTTTTTTCTGATTATGTAATTTTTTTTCTCTATTTTATTTTGTAACATAAGGAATTACTAATAGAGTTTGAGTTTCATTGTTGATGAGCCAGTTTTAAAGAAGGTGTGCCTCCATATACTGGGACATAGAAATATATTGCTTTAGTTTTTAAATTAAAAAAAATTTTGAAATACCAGAATCAATAGATATAATTGGTAAACATGCACACCATTATGAGTTGCAAATCAAGTTTGAGTTTCATTCCTGTTGAGCAAATTATGGGTACAATGAAGGCCTTGTACAATGAAAATATCAGTTTTGCACAAGGTAATGTGTGTTCAACTGGTTAGATATATAGATTATCAGGGGAAGGGTTAGCCTCATATTAATGATTGTATCTGCCTCTTTATATAATCTGTCCTGATAAAAGATTTTATGGAAATTCCCAACAAGGTCAGCCTTAACAACTTTTACTCAAAATAAAGTTTGCCAAACCTTTGATCAAATGCTTGTCCCATACAAGTGTAAACTCACCCAACAATCCTGCAGTTATGGGATACTTTCTTGCATATGCAATACATTTAAAATTTCAAACAAAATTATCACACTTGACTGAATGCATTCAATATAAATGTTTCCAATATTTGTTTGAAAAATAACTTTATTTTTCATATGTAATTTTTTTCTGGATTTTTTTTTACAGGTAGCATGGATCTTATTATATTCAGCTCTACACACAGATTTATAACACATGCTGATTTTAACGAAAAGAACATCATTGTCGTCTACCAAATCATTATCATCAGTGACAAGAAAATACATAATTTGATATTGTTGAAAAATGTATATATTGTAAGCAATAGTTATTTATATGATAAGTTACAAAGTTGCAATGTAAGCCAAAAAATCTTAATATTATAAAGTAATACATAGAGTGGGGATTTTTGAGTTACAAATGAATATTATCAATTTGCCAAATTAAGTACAATGTACTGTAAATTCAGAAATTAATGTGATGATTTTAATAATGCGAATAATGCAACTTGGTGATTATCGCAATAATAAGAACCGGCATTCTCATATCTGAATGTAGATTTTCTGCATTATTGTCCATTCTTCGAAAATCACAATAATAAATGGACTCAATAATTTCTGAATTTACAGTAGTTCATAGTTTTACCATATAGTGGCAAATGAGTTTATTGACACAAAAAATTCTAAAATACTGAATCTTTTATCTTTTAATTTTGACTTGTCTATAAGTTTTTGTCACTACATTCATAATTAAACATGTACTTAATCAGGATCATTTTTATGTTGATTGTATTAAACAATGTGTTAATTGAAAGGTTTGTCAACATTAGAAATCTCTAAGATTTGATGGTACCTCATGTATGGGTTAGTCTATGTTTATGTTTTTATGCCCCCGCCGTAGAAGAGGGGGCATTAAGTTTTACCCTTGTCCGTCTGTACGTACGTCCGTACATCCGTCCGTACGTCCCAAAGTTGGTTTCCGTTCTCTAACTTTAGTTTGCCTCAATCAAATGTTATGAAACTTATACACAATGCTTATTACCACTAAATACAGATTAAGATTGAATTTTGGTGGCGTCACTTTTACCGTTCTAGAGTTATGCCCCTTTACAAATGGAAAAAATGCTAAATTTTTCGTTTCCGTTCTCTAACTTAAGTTTGCCTCAACCAAATGTTATGAAACATATACACAATGCTTATTACCACGATATACAGATCAAGTTTTGAATTTTGGTGCCGTCACTTTTACTGTTCTAGAGTTATGCCCTTTACAAATGGAAAAATTGCTAAATTTTTCATTTTTTTCTAAAAATATTAATCAAGATATTTTTAAAATTGGAGTTATCTTCCTTTGTCCATGATTATAGTTGAATTAACTACAATCAATGATTCATACAATGCAATGTTTAATTTTGCCTTCCACTTATAAATTAAAGCAATTTTTACCCTTCATTTATAAAGATATTTTAAAGTCTGCTTTGAAAATTTGAGTTATCTTTCTTTGTCCAGAATGGTAGTTGAATCAATTACAACCAATGCTTTATACAATGCAATATTCAATTTTGCTTCCTACTGATAAATTGAAGCAATCTTTACCATTCAGTGCTTACAAGCACTTTGATTACCGTTCTAGGGTTATGTACCTTTACAAATGAAAATCTGTTCTCTAATTTGAGTTTGTCTCAACTAAATGTAATGAAATGCATATATATATATAATGCTTTTTACCACAAAACTCAGTTTAAGTTTAATTTATGGAAGCGTCACTTTAACAGTTCTTGAGTTATGTACCTTTATAGCGTTATATATGCTAGAGGGGGCTTTATCTGTGTCCTTATGGACACATTCCCCATTTATTTTTTTAACTTTTTATTGTATTTGACTGTTTTATATGCACCAATATAAAGAAGAACTTTGACCTTAAATTTTTATAAAATATTGCTTATAAATGAAGATTTTTCACCAATTTAAGGATTTTTGTCTATTGTCTTGAAAACTTAGAAAGACTTAAGATATATATGCTGGAAAAACCATAACCACCAAAAATGTCAGACAATTCAGTATTGCAGTTGTTGCCCTTTGATTGGGATTTTTATCTTCATAAGAAGAATGGATAGAGAGAAACTGCACATAGATAAAATAGATAAATTGTAGTCACTGGCCATTAATTTTGTGTTGACTCCTTAGGGAACAGCCATTTGATGTTTGAGAGGGGAGTACAAAAGGTTTTGTAAATAATATGATTACAATATAGTTTGATTACTGGCAGTTAGTGGATGTATATCCCACATCTCATTTTATTCGTATAACTTTCCAAAGGCAAGTTTTTACATACTAATTTCATTTTTTTTTTTTTTTTCATTTAATCTTTTTTTTCTTTATATTTGTAAAAGATTTTATTTAAAAACAATAACATATAAATTGATTGACTTATATCTATTTATATTGTAAGTAACATTTTTTTACATTACAAATACTGAAAAGTTGCTATAACATTGTTGTAAAATATGCATGTTAAAAATAAAAATGTTAGTTTATTTTCTGTTTTATGTCTTTTTATCTGCTTTAATTTTTTTTGAGAGTCATTTTTACAGTTTTAAATAGGCATAAGCTACAATTTAGACTAAAAAATAAAATATGATATTTTTTTATTCTAACATTTGTAAAACTGGAATATTGCAATAATATTTTGCTATCAGCAGTCAGTTTAGTTCAATTTTTTCAGAAAAAGTGCACAAACATTGCTAATTAATAATTAGGGCACGCCTAGTGGTGGGTCGCCCTATAGTGATCAATCTGTCTGTCCGTCCCTCCGTCCAAAACAAACTGTGTCTGCTCTATATCTAGAGAACCCTTATAATTTCATACTTTATACTTGACATGTATATTAACCAACACCAAAGGGTGTGTCATAATGTTTGTATAACTTCCTAGGTCAAAGTTCAAGGTCAGCGGGGCCCATAGAGATGGATCCCATCTCAATGATGTCTAGTTAGCTTGCAAATCAATAATTCAATGTCATTTGAATTTGACCATTAGAAGGTAATTTGTTGCAAATGTGAGAAGCATGTTCAGTTGTTACAAAGAAAAGAATTACGCTATTGAAAAGTGAAACAAGGGAGCTGCCAGGAAGAACCATAAGCTTGACTGATTTGGCCCACATTTTGAAATAAAATGATCTGCAGGCCACAACTTGATACGACCACAGAGGTCGAGCCCTGAACAGTTGGGTCAAGTAAGGACATAACATTCAAGCTTGATACAGCTCTGAATTTGGATTGTGATTAAATATTTGACACAGCATAGGTTTCTGACACAGAATAAATGTGGTCTAAGAAATTAAAAATTGAAATTTGACATTTTCCTCTTATGTTCCAATATCCAAAATCTAAATACATGGTTAAAATTCAGCATATCAAAGAACCCAAAGAATTCAATTTTTGATGAAATCAAGCAAAGTTTAATTTTGAACCCTTTGGACATCAATGTGACCAATTTGATAACACGGCCCAGCATCAAAAATCTAAATACACAGTTAGATTCAGCATATCAAAGAACCCCATATATTCAACTTTTATTAGTCTCCTACCGACGAATTCGATATGGACTTTAGGTTTGCACTCCGTCCGTGTGTCTGTCTGTCTGTCCAGCAAATCAGTTTTCCACACTTTTTTTCTTTATGCTTGAAGATTTTGATTTGATATTTGATGTATTGTTTTATCATGACAAGTTACAGATCAAGTTCGAATTTTGTTCCAGTCTGATGATTTTGTGCAGAGTTATGGTCCTTGGACTTAGAAAATTCACTCAAATAATAAGTTTTCCACACTTTATTTCGTCGTGCTTAAAGATATTGATTTAATAATTAGTATATAGTTTTATCATGACAAGTTACAGATCAAGTTCGAAATTTGTTCCGGTCTGATGATTTTGTGCGGAGTTATGGTCCTTTGAACTAGAAAATTCACTCAAATAATCAGTTTTCCTCACTTTTCTTCATCATGCTTGAAGACATTGATTTGATAATGGGTGTGAGCCAAGGCTCCGTGTTGAAGACCGTACTTTGACCTATAATGGTTTACTTTTATAAATTTTGACTTGGATGGAGAGTTGTCTCATTGGCACTCATACCACATCTTCTAATATCTATATATAGTTTTATCATGACAAGTTACAGATCAATTTCGAACTTTGTACCGGTCTGAAAATTTTGTGCAGAGTTATGGTCCTTGGATTTAAAAAATTCACTCAAATAATCAGTTTTCCGCGGGTTTTTTTTGTCATGCTTGAAGATATTGATTTGATAATTGGTATATAGTTTTATCATGACAAGTTACAGATTGAGTTTGAATTTTGTTCCGGTCTGATGATTTTATGCAGAGTTATGGTCCTTGGACTTAGAAAATTCACTTAAATAATCAGTTTTCCACACTTTTTTTCGTCATGCTTGAAGATATTGACTTGATATTTGCTATATAGTTTACACCATGACAAGTTATAAATCAAGTTAGCATTTTGTTCCAGTACAATGAATTTTTAACCGATAGTGGACTATGTATTGCCATGCAATACTCTCAGAATGCTTGTTGAAATCAAACTAAGTTTAATTTTGAGCCCTAATTTGGACCAACTTGAAAACTGGCCCAAAATCTAAAATTTAAGTATATTTTCAGAATCAGCATATCAAGAAACCCCAAGAATTCAATTTTTGTTAAAATCAAACAAAGTTTAATTTTGCACCCTTTTGACCATAATGTGGAGCAATTTAAAAACTGAGCGCAAAAATTAAAAATCTCAAATACACAGTTAGATTCGGCATATCAAAGAACCCCATTAATTCTATTTTTGCTTATATCAAACAAAATTTAATTTTGGTCCCTTTGGACCTCAATGTGGGCCAATTTATAAACGGGCCCAAAATCTAAATACAGGATTAGATTCAGCATATTAAAGAACTTCAAGAATTTAAGACTTTGAATTAAACCCCATTGAAATTGGTTCAAGAAATAAGCAATTTATACAAAGTATTAGAAAAATATTGTTTTTGGCCCCTAATTCCTAAACAGTTAGGGCCATAACCCCCAAATTAATCCCAGCCTTCCTTTTTTGGTAAGGAACCTTGTGCTACAATTTCATAGCGATCCATAGACTAACACTCAAGTTATTGTCCGGAAATCAGAAAGTCCTGGTTTTTTGGCCCCCAATCCCTAAACGGTTTAGGCCATCCAAAATCAATCCCAACCTTTCTTTTGATGTATGGAACCTTGTGGTACAATTTCATAGAGATCCATACACTCATACACAAGTTATTGCCCTGAAACAAGAAAACTGTTTGTTTTTGGCCCCTATTCCTAAACAGATAGGACAATAACCCCAAAAATCAATACCAACCTTCCTTTTGTGGTATGGAACTTTGTGGTTCAATTTCATAGAGATCCCTACACTTATACTCAAGTTATTGTCTGGAAACCAAATGTCTTCGGCCGATGACGACGCCATACCATTATACGGCCACAATTTTTTGCGGTCGTATAAAAAACTTTCATATACAGGTAAAACAAACAAACATGTCTTGAAAAAAATGCCATTATACGATTGCATGTGTTTGCCTTTCTATTTATATTTATAAATGTGGTCAGTATCTGATCATATGACCATCGGCAGCCTACAAAGGTCATCTCGATGGTTAATTATATGGTGTCTAGAGTCTAAAATATGCACAAGATGCTGATACATTATAGCATAACATGTTGATGCATTGTTTATTGTTTCTTTTGGAATTTTTTTTGTTATTTGGAAATACGTTTTAGTGGGTTATAGTTCAAATATGAAAATTTGAGTCAAATTGGTGAACAAGAATTTGACAGCAAATGCCTCTTTTTTTATTAAGGTCTTACTAATTACAAATGATTTGTATTATGTTGTTCACAGTACAAGAAAATAAGGAACCTTCATGTACTTTTTCATAACATGTGCTTTTATGAATTTCAGTTATTTTGTTTTTATTTATGCTGCAACAGCCTTAATTCATCACTTGATAACCAGATGATAAGATAATCATATTCACTTGATAACCAGATGATAAGATAAGCATATCCACTTGATAACCAGATGATAAGATAAGCATATCAACTAATCAATTTCATTAAGTTTTACTGTATGAATAACATTAATCCTAAAAAAACAAGTAAAATTTGGTCAACATGACCTCATTCAGGTCCCAACACTGTCACTGCTTTACATTTTTATTCTTAAAAACAATATATAAATGTGTATATACTGAAAAACAAGTTGTATTTACACAGAAATAATGGTTCAGGAAATATGTCGTAAATTTCACAAGCTTGATTCATGTTGTTTATAACAGTTTGGCCATAAAAGCAGAAAAATTTAACGACTAATGATTTCTGATGATTTTTGTATTGTAATAAGTTTACTATGCTTAATAATGCAGTCACTTCTGTATATTATTGATTTAGCTTAGACAGGTCATGATTTAGAAATACTACACCTCCATTGGTGATTTTCATTTTCTTGGAGAAGTGAATATTCATGAATTAAACTGAAAATATAATTTATTGCTATGAATAAAGGCAACAGTAGTATACCGCTTTTCGAAATTTATAAATCGATTGAGAAAAAAACAAATCCGGGTTACAAACTAAAACTGAGGGAAACACATCAAATATAAGAGGAGAACTACAACATTAAAATGCAACACACACAGAAACGAACTATAATATAACAATGGCCATTTTCCTGACTTGGTACAGGACATTTTAAGAATAAAATGGTGGGTTGAACCTGGTTTTGTGGCTAGCCAAACCTCCCGCTTTTATGGCAATGTTAAATATAACATTAAAATGACAACATTACATGACAGGACTACAATAAAAATAAATGGGAGAACATATAGGACAGAGAAACATACGAATAATAGCAAACAAAAGGTACCAGGTTTAAAATCTAATACGCAAGACGCGCGTTTCGTCCACACAAGACTAACCAGTGACGCTCAGATCAAAAAGGTACGAAAGCCAAAACATGTACAAAGTTGAAGAGCATTGAGGACCAAAAGTTCCAAAAAGTTGTGCCAAATACGGCTAAGGTTATATGTCTGGGATAAGAAAATCCTTAGTATTTAGAATAATTCATACTTTTGCAAACAGTAAATTTATAAAAATGACATATACTAGTATACAATAGATATACATGATAACACCGAAGCGGTGACTAACTACAGAATAAAAACGGATACATAAAACAACATAAACCAGCACATAAAAATTCACAGCCGAGTTAGCCAAAGAGATCAACGAAAAAAAAAGTGACGTCACATTTGAATTTCTGAAATTTCCCAAAAATAGGATAGAATTAGGATAGATTTCAAGATTTGGTATGAAGAATTTATGTTGTTCTCCCAAGTTTGTGAACAAAATTAGTTCACGAAGAAAAGAGAAATCATCTATGAAAATGTTCATGGTTTTTTTTAAACACTGAATTTAGCCATTTCGTGAATATTTTGAGGTTATAAAATTTGCTGAATCTTAAACATAGCAAGCTTTTGATACTGTAATCAAATTTATATGATTTCCTTCATTGTTACACACAACCCACACCCTGACAATCTTGTTTGTAATTGTAAAATAGGATTACACAACTAATCATGGGTTACGGAGGAAGAAAAAATATCATGAGTGGAATAAGATCGTGAAATTTGCATTGGTCTGATCCTTTATATGTTATCACTTGTGCTTTTAAGAAATATTCTGGATAAGATGGAAAAAATGGGCTGCAGAAATTATCAAAGATATATTTCATGACATGGCTCCATAGAAAAAGTTGGAAATATTTTTACCAAATGGGAGAAAAAGCAAGAATTTTTGTATGACATTTAGCAGTAGAAATAACATGTTCATTGTCAATAACTGTTTTCAAATGGTGCTTATACGAACATTGTAGGATAATGCTAGCAGACGATGCAGAAAGACACTTGTTATAATTTAGTAAAGATGGATATGTATACTCAAGGAATATAGGATTGACACCATTTTTTCCCTTCAAATAAGTAAAAAATTAAATGCATTTAAATGCCAATACTTTTATCTCACTAGTCATGAAGAAACCAACAAAATAAATCTGACCAAAACTAGAAGGTACAAAACTATAATGATATTCTGTAATAGTTAGTTCCATTCCTATGTTTAGTTAGTTTTAGGAATACCTGCAGATATTTTGATGATATTTTCTCTGTTAACAATCTAGATGGTTATCCACGTCTGACTCAGCTTACTTTTACTAAATACTAGTAAATAAAAGTAATAGTGAATTATGACCTTATTAGATATTGATATTTAAATTTCTCATGGTAATCCTCATACCAAATTTAATTGTAAACTGGAAAATGTATCCTTTACTATTGTTAATTTTTCTTGACTTAATTGTAATGTTCCATCATGGTTCCTTCTATGGACTGCACATTTCTCAGTTGGTTCGATATTGCTTGTTTGCAATGATTTCAATAAATGCAATATTTTCACTACTACATTTATTATGGAAGTAAGATTCAACCCCTCAGGAGTTTGATAACAAGTAAATCGGCACTTAAACTGTGATATTATTTATAAAGCTAACAAGTTTAGAAATTGTCTTTTAAATATTTCTTTTGGCTTGATAAACTTATTGATAAGGTTTATAATTATTCTGTTGGTCTTCTGAGATTTCAGTGTTATAGTTATATCTCGGCGCTGTTCAATTACTGCTTCTGGTATTTTTTGGATTAACAATCTGACAGTTTGCTTATAATTTGAAGCATATTAAAATGTTTGTTTTGTTTTTCTGGATTGAAATTCGATAAAGTTTGTTCTAGACATTGTGCAAGATCGTGTTTATTTGTACATGTTACTATATGAAATCTTCTGTGAAGTTTAATCATTGATATTAGAGTGTAGGGCGACATGCTTTCATATGTTAAGTGATTTTCCAGCCCTGAGTTTTTTTGTTTTATTTATGCTCTTTTATATACTTTTTTGTCCACTGATCGAGATACAAATGGGGAAGTTTGAAATCTCAAAAAACTAGTTGAATCTTGACACGTGTTCATGTGCCTACCTAAAGTCAGGAACCTCTTTAAAGGTTGTTGTCACATCTAAATGGATTTATTTTGTTATTTTGAGAATTTCGACTGAGATCACGTGGTGTGGTGTTGATGGTAGGTCTTTGATAGTTGCTGGTAAATTTATTCACAACATCATTTTATTATTAAGTTCCGAACTGTCTGCAATAATATAAAAACAATAAAAATCGGAATTAGTCATTTACAAGGATTCTGTCATACATATAGTATTGTTTATATTCTGCAATTTACTCATAAACACATCATGTTTTTGTGCAATAAAGGTTCACTCATTCAAATGGCCAAAAACAGGCAAATAATTTCCAGTAAATATAAAATATATTAAACAAGAATCAATGTCATTCTACAGTTATTCAATTCTCAAAAAGTGAAGTTCTGTAACATACATTCTTATTCTGTTCCGTACATTTATGAAATCTCCATACCCTAAAATCAAGGATTTGTAATAACATGAGCAATTGGGGTATCAGGAGACTGAAGATGCTCACATAGTTCGTTTTCTTTCTCGTCGATGTCTTCCTCGTGTATGATTCTGATTTTAGCTTTCTTCCCAGGATGTTTCTCTGTGTCATAGTCACTGGCCAAGAGAAACTCCATTGCCTTGTTCAGAGATGCGTTGGCAGCAAACAAATTCTCATACATCAGACCAGCCAGAATCCCTCCAAGTAGTGGACCCAACCAATATACCTTGTAAATATATAATGATGATTTCATTTGATTTATTGTCATAAACATATTTGCCCTAAAGTGATAAAAAAATCATAAGAAAATATACCTGGTAACTATAATGATGATTTCATTTGATGTTTTGTCATAAACATATTTGCCCAAAAGTGATAAAAAAAATCATAAGAAAAGACAAAGTCTTTGGCTTTTAGCACGAACATGTCTGTTTAGTCTGTTGTAGATTTAGATAGTAGAATTAAGAGTTTAAATATATTATCCTTGGAGTTTTTATTTAAATATTTCGAGGAAAACTACAAAAATATTATCGCAGTCATCAATAGATTGTGTGTGTCTTGATAAATATAACTTACACACAGAACATAATTTGTTGTAATAGAATGAATAAAATGTGAACATGAACAGTCACAATGGTATCAGATTTTGATAAAATATAAACGAGCTTTGTCATTTACATGATTCCTGTCAACTTACCCAGTGACTTGACCAAACTCCAGAAACAACAGCGGCGCCAAAACTTCTAGCTGTGTTCATACCAGCACCAGTCATTGGAACCTATAAAGATTGTTAATACAAAATCATTGGTGCCTCTAAAGATTGTGAATACTAAAACATTGGTGCTGTAAAGATGGTGAATACTAAATCATTGGTGGCTGAGAAAATTGTGAATACTTAATCATTGGTGCCTGTGAATATTGTGAATACTAAATCATTGGTGCCTGTGAAGAATTTGAATACTAAATCATTGGTGTCTGTGAAGATTTTGAATACAAAATCATTGGTGTCTGTGAAGATTGTGAATACTAAATCATTGGTGGCTGCAAAGATTGTGAATACTAAATCATTGGTGTCTGTGAAGATTGTGAATACAAAATCATTGGTGTCTGTAAAGATTGTAAATACTTAATCATTAGTGGCTGTGAAGATTGTGAATACTAAATCATTGGTGTCTGTGAAGATTGTGAATACTAAATCACTGGTGGCTGCAAAGATTGTGAATACTAAATCATTGGTGGCTGCAAAGATTGTGAATACTAAATCATTGATGCCTGTGAAGATTGTGAATACTAAATCATTGGTGTCTGTGAAGATTGTGAATACTAAATCATTAGTGGCTGTGAAGATTGTGAATACTAAATCATTAGTGGCTGTGAAGATTGTGAATACAAAATCATTAGTGTCTGTAAAGATTGTGAATACTAAATCATTGGTGTCTGTGAAGATTGTGAATACTTAATCATTGGTCCCTGTAAATATTGTGAATACAAAATCATTGGTGGCTGTGAATACTAAATCATTAGTGGCCGTGAAGATTGTGAATACTAAATCATTGGTGCCTGCAAAGATTGTGAATACAAAATCATTGGTGGCTGTGAAGATTTTGAATACTAAATCATTGGTGTCTGTGAAGATTGTGAATATAAAATCATTGGTGATTGTACGGATTGTGAATACTAAATCATTGGTGGCTGAGAAGATTGTGAATACTAAATCATTGGTGCCTGTAAAGATTGTGAATACTAAATCATTGGTGCCTGTGAAGATTGTGAATACTAAATCATTGGTGTCTGTGAAGATTGTGAATACTAAATCATTGGTGACTGTAAAGATTGTGAATACTAAATCATTGGTGCCTGTGAAGATTGTGAATACTAAATCATTGTGTCTGTGAAGATTGTGAATACTAAATCATTGGTGACTGTAAATATTGTGAATACTAAATCATTGGTGCCTATAAAGATTGTGAATATTGAATCATTGGTGTTTGTGAAGATTGTAAATACTAAATCATTGGTGAATGTAAAGATTGTGAATACTAAATCATTGATGACTGTAAAGATTGTAAATACTAAATCATTGGTGCATGTGAAGATTGTGCACGAATGCAAATGTACGTAATAAACAATAGAAAAATCTCGTGTATCAACTTCCTTTAACGCCACTGAAAGTGGACGTTTCATCAACGAGGATATCACCAGCATAGTAGTTAGTACTCCTGAATGGGTAGTTAAAATATTTTGTTTTCAATGCTCTTCAACTTTGATATTGACTTGGCTTTCTAAGTGTTTTGATTCGAGCGACACTTATAAGCCTTTTCTAGACGACTTGCACGTCGTGCGTACTAAATAATAAGCATGGTCTTCAAATGATGAGTTTTTATAATCACTGGAATGATACATCAAATTGTGACGTTTCGTCCCCGACGGTATCATTCAACTGTTTTTGGTACGAGCGCCGCTGATGAGTCTAATGACGACGTTACGCACATTTGACGCACTAAATTAAGCCTGAATCTTTTTGATGAGTTTTTTTTTTTTTTTTTGGAGAGAGGAACACCAAAGTAACAATATATGCAAACCAAACCAAGTTCTCTATTCGGCTTCTTCTTAGATAATTTCTGATAAGCTTTTAAGTTATATATAGCTCCACAAAAACCATTTTCCTTTTGTTGTTATATTGATAAACTTAGAATACAGAATGTATGTAGTGGTTAACCATTATTGCATGTTTTAGATGCATTAGACCTAATTGTTATTTATTTCGAAGAGACAGGGTTTTAACAACTATATATAAAAATCCCACCGTAAGTGATTTCTGTTTGTTAAACTCACTTCTGAATATACTAGTATATCGACCCAAATACATGTCTGACTAGGGACAGTAAATTAAAATAATAATAATAAAAAAAATCATCCCAGAAACTCAAATTTTCAGAAAATCTCAGAAATTACTGGAGAAAGGATTAATTGCTGATTCAAAAGACAAACGACTGGAGGACAGCATTTCTATGGTTGATTGGTTGATTGTGACTTGTTATAGTCCAATGGGAAATAGTTCATGCATATTCAGGATGAGAACAAATTAACAATTAATACAATAGGTATGTTCTGCAAGGCAGTTGGCTGAGATGAAGGGTGGAAAATTTGGACTACCGTTGGAAAATGGGGGCTTGTTCGATAGGGGCTGATTATTTTTCTTTTAACAAACCACCCATCGGAGAGTTGTACCGAATACCTAGAGACCCAGAGTTGTTTCAAACACAACGCTCCCCTCATATAGATGTTTCCGTTTTTCTTTAATCTGGAACTCTCTCTACACGAGGAATCGGATTTAATGTCCCCATTCCGACTGGACGTTAATGCTAATTTATACATTCCGCACAGCCAAACGGATGACCCACTTCAGCAAGAGTTTTTTAGCCAGACAGGAGAAAATCATGGATGACCGTTTTTATTTACCACATTTCAAAGTAAATGCAATGACTCGTGAATAGTTCAGTAGCGGATACAGGGGTGTAGAGGGCTTACGCCCCCACCCTTTTATCGGATTTTTTTTTAAATGGCATACAAAAAAAATCGCAATATAAACCGTATATATTCCGTTTTCTAGGAATACGCTCCCTTTCGAAAATCCTGTTCCGCCCCTGTAATATGCACTTTGATGCACATATCAAACTCGATGATGTTTTTTTTTTAATGTGAATTCGTTATTCTAAAAATCTTTATCATAAAATATACTGGTGATCTATGATGAATCAATTCACTTACACATAAGGGAGCTACCATTTCTGATTTTTAGGGGGGGGGGGGCTTGGATGACAATTGAAAAAAAGGCAGGACAGGAGTTTTGAGTTAAAAAAAAATAGGCAGGATGAGCAACTTGGCAAAAAAAAAAAGGCAGGATGACAATTTATGTAAAAAAGTCAGGATAAACTAATAAAAAAAAAAGGCAGGACAAACTTTTTCATCCTAGCCCCCCCCCCCCCCCTTTCCCCTTCCATAAAAATCAAATGGTGGCTCCCTAAGTTTGCGGTCAATAAAGAATTGAATTACATTTGAATGAGGATATTTTGAGAAAATACTATTTGACTCCTGAACTTCATCTTCATGGTTCAAAGACTTACTAAGATAAATTTGGCGATTTTATTATGAAAACCTAAAGTGACCATATTTTTATCTGCAAATGATTTCATAGTTACAAGAATTGCCGACCTAACTATAAAGAGGGTCGAAGTTACTATCATTGTATCAATTTCTCTTTTTTTACAAGTCAGTTTTCACTATAATTAGCATACAATTAGTTGAATAGTTCTTGTTTGCAGTTCTCTGAGTCAAGTCCATATTTCATAATTAAATCGATCTTAAGCTTAGACAATAACTATGAGGCTAAAAAATTCCCAAGGATGCGTTTGTGTTGACGGACTTTTACCATTCCCAACTAGTTATCGTTTTTATGCAAATTTCCTCAAATGCAATGCATGCTCAAGCAGTTGTTCGTTTTTTTCTGTTGGAAGAACACGCCAGACTGACAGGAGTTATGACCTCACCTTGAGCTCATTTTCATGATCAAGCCAGTAATTCAAAAGTTACTTTCCACGATGACGTCAAATTGTCCGTGGTAACCAGGCTGTATATTTATTTCTCTGTAGTACAGTGTGCTATATTATTTAAACATAACCCATAGTACCACTTTAATCAGGAAATGTGACTTTTGGGGACTTTTTGGGGGAATATATTCATATTTCATTTCTCTGTTGTTAAGTACTGAGATCCGTCACATATGTTTATATGTACTCTCAGATCTGTACTTATTGTCTTTTTTGTTGTGGGGATGTATAAGTACCGTGCCACGCCGGTCTGTGCTTTTCTTAGATGTAATTCTGCTTTGTATCGATCTGATGAGTTAATATAAATAAGAAGACGTGGTATGAGTGTCAATGAGACAACTATCCATCCAAGTCACAATGTGTAAAAAGAAAACAATTATAGGTTAAACTACGGCCTTCAACACGGAGCCTTGGCTCACACCGAACAGCAAGCTATAAAGGGCCCCAAAATGACTAGTGTGAAACAAATCAAACAGGAAAACCAACGGTCTTCTCTATATAAAAAAGAGAAACACTTATGAATCATAACAACAAACGACAACCACATATAAACAAAAACAAGTAAACATGCACTGAACGAATAAATTTGATTTATGACACAATATAAATACAATATTAATAAAAAAAAAAAGATGTAAAACAATGTCAAAAAGACAACTCTAACCTAAGACAAAATGGCGTAAAATAACGTACACAGGTAAATTTAAATATAATAATTTTGTTGTACGGAAATATTTTTTACAAAATAAATAAGTTTGTTGTTCACAGTACGAGTACAGAAGTGAAAATTTATCGCCATACTAAATACTAACAAAGGAGGTACATATAAAAAATAGTGAGACGAGATATAACACAAAATAAGTAAACATTGAATAACAAAAATGCATTACAAATTGTGTCAACGGGTCAAATTAACACGAAAGTACGATTTGAGAGTACTCGCAGTTACTGAAAGCTAGTTAAAAGCCAAAAAACAATTAGTAATAATAAATTCATGCATCAGAGACTAAAATCATTAAAAAACATTCCAGATATTTATTGTTTTAACGCCATGGACAGTCAAAGAAGACATGACTTGTGCAATGCCAAAATAAAAGTATCGACAGGCAGTAGGATAGTTAGGATTTAACCTACTAATAAATATGTATCATGTTATATATAGAGAAAGCAATCTCTAAATAGAAAATAAACGTGGATGTGTATTTATACATCACAAAAAATCCTTCGAAAAGAATACAAATTTAGTTATGTTTTAATTTGTTGATGACAAAATCGATGGTAGTGCCAACGTAAACAATATTCAAAGATCTTATTACAACATTAATAAGATAACCTTTACTAATAAGTTTGTTTAAAGGTTCGATGAGTTTACACGGATCACATGTGATTTCCGCGCTTTTAGTACAATATTACCGTAAAATTTAGGATGTGAAATACTGTTTTGAAGTTTTCAACAGGTACAGCCAAATTTACTAATTAAATCTTTGTATCTATGAAAGAATTTAATAAATGTTTTAAGTAATTTATGGTAACGAAGGAATAAATCTGCTATTAAAGGGGCACAATTAGTGCCCATAGGAATATCTACTACCTGTCGATACACTTTATCGCCGAAACGTACCTATATGTTGTCCAGGAGAAAAATTAAAACTTCAATCATATCTTTACATTTCCAGTAAGTGTATCTAGCATACTTTCCGTTTTCGTTACAGAAAAAGGCTTTAAACGAGTTACAGCAAATAAATATGCAATGAGATTTTCAAAAGACCATTTAATTAGATATGAAAAAGATTGTGTGGAAGTGTAGTGGAAAGAGTAGAAAAACCATAACTGTCAACAGAATTAAAAGGACGATCAAAAGCAGGTATTTTATCTAAAACCTCTAAAGAATTTTTAACACTCCAAAAATAATGAATACCATTATTTTCATAAACTTTTTTACAAAAGTTAATAACAAGTTCTTTGATAGTAGTAAGGGAGGTAGTTGGAAGCACTGACAGTTTGGAGGTAGAACACTTACTAGATGCGGAGATGAAACGAAATTTAATGGTTGTTTGGGTAATTTAGGTAAACCAGTACATAGTCGGGACTTTCAAATGTTCGGAAGAGGTTTTAAGCTGGGTTGTGGCAGTGATATGCTTGTTTACAATTTGACTCTCTATGGAGCGTACGGACCTGAATGTAGAAGAATTGATACTTTCGTTTTAGAGAACTTCCGTGTAGTATATGCGTCACACCACCACTATATTATTGGCTGCTTTGTCTGCCGGTACGAACATAAACCGCTTTGTGAGTACTTGGAGTTTATTTTTTATTCTAGAAATGGGTATATCATGAACCCTATAATCAATTTCAGAATCGTTTTCAAAATGAGCTATACGAATGTCAACAGTATTCATAATTTTATTCAAATAACTGTCTAGAGATTTATTATCAGATCTTTCACGTTTACACCAATTTTTACAGCAGGCAGACAGAGCGTCTTTAAGCCCTTTTCAACTGATTTTTATAGTTTGTTCTTATGTTGTACTGTTACACCACTGTCCCAGATTAGGGGGAGGGTTGGCGCCTTTTTACAAACTAGTTTAAGTCCGCCAAATTCTGAATGTGCCTGTCTTAAGTCAGGAGCCTGTAATTCGGTGGTTGTTGTTTGTTGCTGTATATCATATTTGTTTTTCGTTTATTATTTTGTACATAAATCAGGTCGTTAGTTTTCTCGTTTTAATTGTTTTACATTTGTCATTTCGGGGCCTTTTATAGCTGACTATGCGGCATGGGTTTTTCTCATTGTTTAAGGCAGGACTGTAACCAATAGTTGCTAATTTCTATGTCATTTGGTCTCTGGTGGAGAGTTGTCTCATTGGCAATCATACCACATCTTCTTATTTTTATATTAAGAGGCCAAAGCAAAATTTATATACTATCTAATTCGCACATTGAAGGATCGTTTTGCGTCAATGATTCACAGAACATAAATACTGACCGATTGGTTTGCACCAGTGATACACATAACACTAAGGTCAAAATAGCTATAAGTATTAGCGTTATCTATCCAGATAAGGGTGTTGTAAGCAGCACATAAATCGCCAATGCCAATACATTCCTCTTCAGTGAGGGACAAATTAGTCTTTAATATTTATACCACTCACTTTAATCATACTTAATACCAAATGATTATGTACATAATGTACAGGCAGTAAAATTTACAGCATTTGAAATAAAGTTTTATGATACCTTTCCCTTTAACACTGATAAGATCGACCTGTTTGGGTCTGAACATGTGTAGCATTGTTACGTAATGGCAATAATCTCTTTCAATACACTTTCTCGTTTAATTGTACCCAGGTACCCTTCCTGTTCCTGATCTAAATACTCATGTCGACTGTTTTTTTCTGTTGTCACTCCATGAATCATAGGGGTCGAGGATATAGTAACACCGTTAAAGATGAGTTACAAATCCTCATCAGAGTTTATGTTCAAATGTTCGTCATTATGCCGAATCTAAATAAAGTTTTACTTAACAGTTTTACAATAAGACAACAATTTAACAGTGTCAAAACAAGATGGATTTACGCAATTATATGTCAACGTATGGCCTTCAACTATGAGCAAAACCTATACCGTATAATCTGCTATAAAAGGCCCCGATATGACCAAATGTGATCGATTGTAGTCCAGTTATTCCTATTGTTGGTTATTGATATGGATAGTCGATCTATCAAATTAGGTTATTAAAAGTTTGTTGATCGAAATTTTCATGGTAGCATTGCTCAGGTTGTTTTTTGTCTATTTTTTCGGTAGTATTTGAAAATCCTCGTCACATTGACATTTTTATGATATGGTTGACATTTTATAACTTATTTCTTGCAGCACAAATGGGTTAGAATATTGATTACCTCGTTACGCTTTTAAATGTTTTTTTTTTATTATTGCTGTGTAATATTAGCCGATGAAAATACGATTGGCCATCTTGAATTCCTAAAAACTTTCAACGTTTTATATTAACCCGTCTACTCGGATTAGATAATCGGTCTAAAAACAGGTCATATTTATGACATTTATAAAATTCCTTGAAAGAAGGAAATTCACAAGTCAGAAATATGTTTCCGTCTTCAAGTTGTAGCATTGATTAAGTATTTTATTACGCTTACAAAGTACCGGGAAGCTTCTTTTCCACTGTCATACATTTTTAAGAAAAGAACATTTGAAATTCAATCAATCGTTATATTTCATTATATTCAAGTCTCTCAAATGATAGAAGAAAATATGCACAATTTACCTGGGATATCATTGGTAGTCATGAAGGTTTGATATAATGGTACAGGAAAATAATTACATTAACTGTACCAATTATTCTGCACTAGATGCGCTTTTCGACAAATAAAAAATGTATCTTCAGTGATGCTCGAGGCCAAAATATTTGAAAGCAAACCTTGAAGAGCCGATAAAACCAAAAATGACTAAAAGTAAAGTCAAACGCGGACAAGGAAAGAAATTTATCCGAGATACATTCCTTAATTTAAAATTAGTTCGAGTTAAGTACTATACTTACTGCAAATAAGTGACAGAAGGTATATGCCAGTCCAATCGAAAGTGGAAACGATCCCCTCAAGTCCTTCCGGTGTTTGTCCGCAGAAGCAAATACTGTCAATACCAATACAAAGGTGATGAAGAACTCCACCCCAAAACCTTTCCCTCCATTCATACCATGTTGTAAGGTTGTCGCGCCAAGATTACCGGTGTAGTTGGATGGCATTACCCCTTTCAATAGTCCTGCTCCAATCATGCCTCCTACACATTGTCCAATGACATACATGACAGCTCTAGCAAGACTAATACGACGAGTGATGAAGAATGCCATGGTAACAGATGGATTCAGATGGCCGCCACTAACATGCCCGAAAACCCAAACTAATGTAGCAACTCCGAGTCCGAAACAAAGTGAAATCTGTATAATTCTTCCCGCATTTGAAATATGATGGTCTTTATTTGGATCTTCCCAAGCAGTGAAAGATCCACATGCTATCATCACAAGGAGCAATGTTCCTATCATTTCTGCAATTACTGCTTTCCAAAACCTTAGTGATTTTATATCATCCACGCTGGTCACCATTCTGTATCGTGTCCAAAATCCTTTTCCAAAACCTAGTACGGTGGCCGAATTTGACCGTTCTAAACAAGGTGTCATCAGGGGTAATTTAAATTGTCACCAACCGTAATAAATGTCTTATTGGCTATCATTAAACAATGTTCCTCCTCGAGTACTGACTGTTCCGCAAACAGAGAAATACAGATAAAGTAAATAAAAGTTTCCTATACCGGGAATAGTTATCCATTACTCATTCAGCAGATAAACCCCAGAAGTCTAGTAATACAGTGAAGTTTAAATAATCAAACTAAAGCTATATCCAGAGTTTTGTTTCCCCTGAGAATGTGTATCTTCATTTTGAAATAGACCTTAGAGCATGTTGCGGCAAATTAATAACACGTTGGATCCAAAATTTACAATTTTTATATCAATAGCTAATTCAATAGAGTTGCAGTTAGAACTGACAAGCACCGCGTTGCTAATTTCCTAATGGAAATGCACTAGATTAATTTAACTGTCTAAAACGCATATATAATTTGACGAAACGGTGGAAAATGAAACAGATCATTGCCAAACGTAGATAAAATATTCTTAAGCATTGAATTATAATTATATATTTGATATGACATTTCATCATGACAGTTTATTTACACTGTTATTAATTAATTAATTTTAATTTGCTACAAAGAAACGTAACAAAATTACTAAAAGAGAGGCGAAAGATACCAAAGGGACTTTCAAGCTCATAAGTCGAAAAAAAACTGAAAACGCCATGGCAAAAAAACGAAAAAAAGACCAGAAGACAAACAACAGTATACAAAACACAACTTAAAAAACTAAAGACTGAGCAACACGAAACCCACCAATAAGCGGGGTGATATAATAATATGACAATATTCAGTATTATTTGAAGTGACTACACGTGTAATTTGAGGATGAACTTACTAATGCAAGGATTTTCTATACTATTCATGTTTTGTTGTGAAATCGTAATTTTTTATCGTATGAACCTGCTACAGTTGTTGATCGAAGTTTATATTGGCACGAAAAAACGGATGATTTTGTGCTATCAAAATTTTGCTGTTACAAAAGTTGGGAAATTATTTAGAATTAAGTAATATATCTCCTTCATGCAAAGCTCTGATTCTTTGTCCGGCTTTGGCTATTCGTTTTTCCTTTTTTGTTTATAAGCTCGTCACTTTTTGAAAGTTTTGGATTTTCAAACATTTTGGCCTCGAGCATCACATAACAGACATTTATTGTCGGAATGCGCATTTAGTGCAGACAAATTGGTACCGTTATTGTTATTGTACAGGGGGAATTTGATAAAACTTCTAGGCATGTTAATGTTCATGGGCGTATTTTGGTACAGCTTATTGTAAAAGAAATAATTAAGCAAAAAGAAATAGTTCTGTGTATTGAATGAACAAAATTTATTTTAATTTCCATCAACTACAAATTGCATATAGTTATATCTAACCAACATCGAAGTAAAATTCAAAATAACACAACATGTGGTTTATATAGTCGAGCGTTTGATTTTTTCATGTTTTATGGACTTCACCCTTTTTAGAAATACATGTTGTTCCAAAAACACATGTCATTCGAGAAAAAACGTGTCGTTCGAGAAATGCGTGTCGTTCCAAAAACACGTGTCGTTCAAAATACATGTGTTGTTCCAGAAACACATGTCATTCCGGAAATATGTGTTGTTCCAGAAATACTGTCGTTCAATTACATGAGTTGTTCCAGAAACATGTGTTGTTCAAGAAACATGTGTCGTTCCTGAAACACGTGTCGTTCACAAAAATACGTGTCGTTCCAAAACATGTGTCGTTCCAGAAAACACGTGTTGTTCCAGAAGCACATGTCGTTCCAGAAGCATGCGTCGTTCCAAAAAATTAAACGTTTTAGTAATAACATAAAAGGTACCAATTTATCTGCACTAGATGCGCATTTCGATAATCAATGTCTCTTCAGTGATGCTCGAGGCCAAAATAATTGAAAATGCAAAGCTTATTAAAAAGATGAAGAGCTATAAACCAAAAAGGACAAACAAGTATAGCCAAAGCCGGACAAGGAATCAGAGCTTTGCATGAGGGAGATATAGTTAGCTTATGTGTCAATTTAGATACTTTGCGTGTGTCGACCGTCATTGGCCAACTAAAACATTGGGGGTAAAATGCAAAAATAAATATTGTCTAATATCTTAAAAATCATAACAGTTAAGAGGAGATATGACGAGATAAAAATGTTAAGCATGTCAAAATCTATCTACTTTCTATTTCAACCAAAGTTGTCAGACGGCTAATAGATATAGTTATTGCCTTTAAATGACTTTTTTTTGTTAATTTTAGGCATTCTTGTCTGATATCTACATAACCGTAATGAATAGATCGTAAATTAAAGAACCTTAGTGAGCGCGCTCACATACCCCACGTCCCCACATTGTCATTGGAGAAATAAAATAAGTGTAAGAAAAAAAAATTGAATCATAATTTCCTGTCGATATGCACATCTACATAGTATGTCCTTATTATCTACAAAGTTTCATGAAATTCTGTTGTGTGGTTTCAGAGGAGTTGCGATGACAAACTGTTGCAGAAGTACATTGAAGCAAATAAGTTCAAAGGGGCGTAACTCCTAGAAAAAAAATTGAATCGTAATTTCCTGTCGATATGCACATCTACATAGTATGTCCTTATTATCTAAAAAGGTTTCATGAAATTCTGTTGTGTGATTTCAGAGGAGTTGCGATGACAAACTGTTGCAGTAGTACATTAAAGCAAATAAGTTCAAAGGGGCGCAACTCCTAGAAAAAAATTGAATCGTAATTTCCTGTCGATATGCACATCTACATAGTATGTCCTTATTATCTACAAAGTTTCATGAAATTCTGTTGTGTGGTTTGAGAGGAGTTGCGATGACAAACTGTTGCAGTAGTACATTAAAGTAAATAAGTTCAAAGGGGCATAACTCCTAGAAAAAAAATTGAATCGCAATTTCCTGTCGATATGCACATCTACGTAGTATGTCCCTATTATCTGAAAAGGTTTCATGAAATTCTGTTGTGTGGTTTGAGAGGAGTTGCGATGACAAACTGTTGCAGTAGTACATTAAAGTAAATAAGTTCAAAGGGGCGTAACTCCTAAAAAAAAATTGAATCGCAATTTCCTGTCGATATGCACATCTACGTAGTATGTCCTTATTATCTGAAAAGGTTTCATGAAATTCTGTTGTGTGGTTTGAGAGGAGTTGCGATGACAAGAAACAGGACTGACGGACGGACAGACGGACAGACGGACGGGTCAAAAACATTACACCCTCCGCAACCCATTGCGTGGGGTATAATAAACAGCCAAAGTCATCATTCTTCATTTAAGAATTGAATGCTTCTTTTTGTAAATTTATTTGGGTATAAAAGCGTTGACCGAAGTACATTTTGTATGAATCGCGGAAGCGCTTCATTCTAAAAATGTGCGCATGGTCAACGCTTTTACAACCTTATAAAATTATTAAAAGAAGCATTCAATACTTATAATCACATTTTTTTTGCTAGGATCATGAAATCACGATTTCTATCAATTTTTTCTTTTATTTACCTGTGCACTTTATTGTGGAAGCTCGTGTCATCATGAATGTTACATTTCATTTTGAAATGAAGGTTAATTTCAGAATTTCAGAATGACGCGAGATTGCTGTTAGCCAATCAAAATAACGTATTATAATGAAACATACATGTTATGTAATTATATGTAATTATATTGACACCAAAGTTGCAATTTTCTCAAGTAATGTGTTTTTAAAAGAGACTAATGAATCAGTAGACTAAGTACTTTGAACTTTCTTTCGGGAACTTCGAACCTGCTTTGTATCGTTATATTAGAGTTTTAAAGTGCTTTTCGAACAATTGTTTTATTTAATGTTCTTTAATGTACCTTTTAATAGCCCGAAAACCTCAGTTTAATCCCGTCATATATTCATGTGCCCGTCCCAGTTCATGAACCTCATAAGAGGTGGTCTTTTTTCATTTCCGAATGATTGCATTTGCCATTTCCGAATGAGTGTTTTTGCAATTTGGAGAAATTTGTTGTAGATGGCAGATATTCTATTTTATAATTTGTTCCCGCCTCGAAGTGTTGTATTTAAAAATAGGTTCCTAGCCGATGAAACATGTCCAAGCAAAACGAACTTATAGTGAAAATGAAATAAACACGATCTATATAATGCCATTGGTCCTTTTAATGAACTTATTCCTAAAGGTTATCAATTTAACACCGTAGTAAAAATTTTAAATATTTTTATATCGTTACTAACATTTATTTTGTTTTTGAAAAACTAAAACATGATTAAATATGTATTGCTATTTAATGTACAGTTATGAGTACTCGTGATGCTACATCCTGTCGAAACTGTTTTACTTAAATGTTTGGCAATGTCCAAGGTTATAAGTTTTTCAAACTATTTATGCCGTCTTTACCATAATTCGTTGGATATATGTATTGATTGATACTTTAGTCAAGAACATGATTTTTAAAATACTTGTAACTGGCATTGCACTAGGTTGCGGTAATTGCGAGTTCTCTTGTATCGGTGTTTTTTAAAAAATTTTATTGTTTAGTTCTTCATTCCAATTTATTGAGTTACATGTTAGCCATTTGCAACTGATTTTTACACTATGTTCTTTTGTTGTGCTGAGGCAACACTGCAACACAACACTGTCCCAGTTCATTTTTTGTGTGCCTGTCCCAAGTCGGGAGCCTGTAATTCAGTGGTTGTCGTTGGTTCATGCCTGTCATATTTGTTTTTCGTGGTTTTGTCGTTTGAATTGTTTCACTTTATTCATGTCGGGCTTTTATAGCCGACTATACGGTGTGGGGTTTTCTCTCGTTGAAGGCTGTATGATGACCTATAATTGCTTACACGTTTAGGATCTTTTCTTCCCAAATTAAATAAACTCTCTATATATCATACTTTTCTTATGAGTAATTTTAATTTTTGCTCTTTGGCTGGTCATTTTTGCACTGAAAAACATACCACAAAAGTACAAGAAAGAGCACTCCGGTTTGTGTATGATGACTACAACTCCACATATTTACAACTTGTTGATAAGGCTAAGGTGTCAACTCTTCTGGTGCGCATTATCAGGGCAATGACTTTAGAAACTTTTAAAATTTTAAATAATATTGCAACACTCAAAAGTATGGAATACGAAATTCACTGTGCATGCTGATTAATTTAATCTGGTGGTTGGAGAAGCGACTCACAAATACCGGTCTTCTCGTTTTGTATTTAGGATAATTGTCTAAAAAAGCATAAAGCTATCTTATTGTGAGCGTATTGTGAAAAGAAATGATTAAATGTATAAACTTGTAAAGAATATGGACATTTCTATAGTAATCAAATATCAGATAGCGTCCCTTTTAGGCAAAACAAGTGAATTTATGATTGACAATTAACAATTCACTTAAATATGATATCATAAAGAAATTTTATTTACTCTGGCATACATTTGCTACACGTACAAATTCTTCCATCATCATTCAAAATTAAAAGCTACTACTTGTGATATATGAAATATCCTAGCATACTTGAACATGTTTCTTTTTTTCTGCAACTAAAGTGTAAATTATTCTAGATGACCCATTTATTCATGTTAAGGTAAAAGTAGTAGCTACTAAGACGATTCCAGGTGTTTTTCGTGCACGATCATTTGCACGTTCTCATCTGTTTTATTGAATATATTATCATCATCAGAATCTACCAGAATTTTTAGTTTTTGTTCTTGTGCTGGGAAATCTTCTGTGTCATATCTACTGGACAAAAGGAATTCCATTATTTTATTCATAGAAGCGTTTGCAGCAAATATGTACTCGTACAATAAACCAGCAACAACACCTCCTAAAATAGGTCCAATCCAGTACACCTATTTAAATATAAAAGAATGATAATGAAACACGAATTTAAACATCTATGGCGGAAATTTTATTTTACAGATAGTGCACACTCAACCAACAGCTGATTGAGTGTAATAATTTATGGCAAGTTTAAGACCTGCGTAAAAATTTCTTCTCTGTAGTAATCACTCTCATTTCGGAGTCAACTCCAAAAGGTGTCTGAGGTATAGAAATATGGTAACCTTGTTTTTCCGATCGGCAGTAAAACTCGTGCCTAAAGGGGGCATTCGTAAGGTTGTGTAGGATGTATACATTCGCAACTACGTCCGGTCCGAATGGGAACACGTTAAATCCGATGCCTGGTGTAGGAGATAGTGCCATGCTCTTTGCGTGTAAAAGAACAACTCTTTGATGGGTCCGAAGGTGGCCTGATGCAAGGCAATATTTTTGCCCCTTTATTTTCCTACATAAACCATGGATTGTTTTCGCCCAATCCCCTCGCCCTTCATCCCTGTCTTCCCACCTTGCAAAACCTACCTTTTGTATTAACTGTTAATAGTGATTCGTCCAGAATGTACATGGAATAGTTGCTACTACTCCGACGTTAAGGAAGTAATAGTCAGACAATCGATCAATTCATATTGTTTTGGCTATTCACATCTGGACTTCAGATATACCTCCATATAATGCAAATAACTGGAATTCTTTGTGACTTATAGATTATGATCGAATAAACTAGAGGCTCAATAGAGCCTGTGTCCACTTTTCAGTAAAAATCATCATACAAGCCTTGAAGGGGAATGACTCTATTAGAGTTATCTGACAATTTCAGTCATGTATACATGTTTGTAGATCTCATCCTGCTGATAATTTTTCCATTCAAAGTTTCTATTTATCAAATATAGTTTACAAGATAGTAGGCAAAAATGGGACAAATTGGAGAAACTCGTCATTAAAGGGCAATATCTTCAATAAGGAGTCGAAAAACGATTTCAGTTATGCTTTCAAAATAATAGGCAAAAAAGAAAAAAAAATGGTAAAACTCATCATTTAAGGGCAATAACTCCTATAAGAAGTCGTCTGACAGATTTGACTTAAATAGACAATAGGTAGAGCTCAACATTCTGAACATTTTTGCCCCTATCAGATTTTCTCATTTTATGGCGTTTTCGAAATAGTAGGCAAAACTTGCATTTTACACCCATGTTCTATTTCTAGCCATGTCGGCCATCTTGGTTGACAGTCGGGGTCATCGGACAAATTTTTTAAACTAGATACCCTAATAATGATTGCGGCCAAATTTAACTTGGTTAAATTTGGCCCAGTAGTTTCAGAAGAAAAGATGTTTGTAAGCGTTAACGGACGATGACGGATGCCAAGTGACGAGAAAAGCTCACTTTGCCTTTCGGCAGGTGGGATAAAAATAAACGAATATGAATATATTTAAGTATCTTATTCATTTTTTTCGGGGAGGGTTGGATTTTTATTTCTCTAAACTTTTGAGCATTTAGCCCATCATTAATGAACAATATAACTTTACGAAATAAATAAGTAACCTAAATTTAAGTGTAGTCAGATCCCCGTGCAAGGTTTATTTTACAAAACAGGCAAAATATAACTTGTAAGCTTTTTTGTTTCAATTTGTGATTGCGTCGCTGTTCCTATCGAATATAATCCAACCCTTTTGTCAGCGTCGACATGGTGTTTTCTGGACGGCTCTCTTGTTTTTCCTAGCGTACAGACCAGATGATCGAACACCAAACAACAGTTAACAACAGCCACGTTCTCTCATCAGATACAATTTTGAAAGTAAACACCTTATTTTTTATTTTTATTTTAGATAAGATTGACTTTCAAAAGACAGATAGATATATGATAGGAAGAGCTCATTTGAATTCAGTCCGAGTATTCTTTGCATACGCATGGGTGCTATGACAAAAGCTACAAATTGCCTCTCTTCTGTTTCCACCCTTTGTCGTGCAGGTTTAACAGATTTCGTTTTCCCATACATTTTACATCGGATTATCTAAATGCATTTAACGTTATTTCATGTTAATGTAAATCATAAAAGGAACAATGTATGTTAGAAATTTATTTGAATTCCGTATACATATAAGTGACGTTTCATTGACTTTATAAACACCTTTTAAAAGCAAAAGTAAATTCTAAAACCTAATATTGTGAAAATGTGCAATATACGTTTCAATGCTTTTGTTTACAATTTAGGAGTGTTTTATTTGTAAATTTGTTTACATCTAAAACCGATTTCCTCCAAGGTAAATTTATGTAAGTTATGTATTTGGGAGATAAGTGCAATTATTTATCAGTTAAAGGGTGTTATTAGTAACTTTGCATACGTCTCAAAAATCAATTAAATATTATGCGAACATGCATTTAAATGCAAATAACTAAGCCGCTGTTGCATGAAATTGTTTATATAATGTTTTCATAAAAAGGTGTTAATCAAATACCTAAGTCAGACGTGACATAAATTTAGTCATTACTCACAATGATCATAAAATATGATAAGCTCGTAATTCATATAGTTCGTATTATTTTTATATTGTTTTAAATCAAGTGCGTATTTTACAGAATTGTTTTGTCATTATACAACTTTTTTAAGATAAGATAAGATAAATTTTATTTCCAATAGAGGATCCATCATAGGCATAATCAGTACATTGATTTTTTTTATCACACAATTGCAATAGTCAATACACAAGAAAATAAAAAAAAAACAGAAATACAACTGACAAAAAACATGAAATATAAATTGAGTTAATAATACATGTAGTCACATAAACCAGTATGTTTAGTGTTTATTGACCATGCACCAGAAGCAGCGTCACATCCATTATAGAAAAAGCTTTTGAGTTAAGTCCTTCCTCGTGGCTGGTGCATATGAACAAATAGTAGTGTTGTTCATATGCAGGAGTCACCAAGGGCAGGTGCTTAAAGGACAACTTTTTTATTAGTACAACGTTAGATGCCTGAAATAGTTGTGAATGACTTTTTATAGGCATCTGCAAAACAGATTCTGTTGTTGTTGGTTTTAACTTTATAAAATGCGAAATTTTCTTATCAATGCACACTGAAGACTTCCACAACATATTCTTGAAAGGAGTAGAGCCAGTAACCCCAATAAACGGCCCTGTAAAGGTGTATTTTTTAAACTTCAATTTGTTTGAGTAAATCTAATGTGTATGTATTGTTAAATGTATTATCTTTGAAAGTATAATAGAAAAATTGTATATTTGCTTCATAAATATAAATATCAAAGCCTGAAAGAGCAAAAATATTTCCTTTTAATCCTTTTTTTAAATATTTTCATCGTTTTCGACCTTTTATGATTTCATATGTGGCACCACCCCTCGCCCATTAAAATTTTGGTTGAAAAGTAAATAATATTGTATGTAAAGAATATTTCAGCAAAAATATTAGTGGGCGAGGGTGGCACCACTATTAATTTTTCGGAAAACCGTCATAAATGGTGCCAAATTAAGCAAACAAATAGTTCTCACGTAATTCGCTTATATTTATGACGTCACATAGACACTTCTAATGACACAATTGTTGAAAATCTTTTTTACCTGACACAATTGAGCATTTAAACATATGATCTCATCAAATTTTCACAACATTATCGCAGTTAAAAATTTTCATATTTTTAGGGCCAAAACTATGAGTTAGTGAATCAACACCTTTTACAATAGCCGTGAATGAAACACTTTTAAAAAGCGATTTTGAAATTTAAGTTATAGTTCATACAAAGTACTAATAGTATTATTTGAAATCGAAGGAAATTTAAACCATCATTTGATTTGTACAAAAAATGAAAAAAAATGAAAAACATATATGAAGAATTGTGTATTACCCAGTGATTTTCCCAGTTGTTCATGGCAACAGCTGGTCCAAAACTTCTCGCTGAGTTCATACTCGAACCAGTCAATGGTATCTAAAAACACAAAAATCGAAAAATAATTTTATAATGTATAATTGATGTCTACATTGGTATGCATGGATTAAATATGCGGTTGTTAAAAAAAAGACGTCAATTGAAAATTAATTTGTGTATATATAAACGCCTATAAAGTGTACAAAACAACACCAATAACAAAAAAACAAAAAGGAAACGTTAAATGTAATTATCTATAAATATTTCGGATAATAGATATCCTTCATCAGTATGATTATGATGTAAAATGAATCATATCAATCTATTATATATATATATATATATATATATATATATATATATATATATATATATATATATATATATAATATTTTTTCTAAATCATGTTTACGTTTTGCATTCCACCACGTGTCCGCGAGTCATAAATTCTGTACATAACATTACTTCATAGTAAATACTATTTATCATGTTAAGAGTGCTACTTGTAGACAACGTTAAACAGCAACGCAAACAACAAGGTTTAAACATTATACCATGGAAGTATTATACTGAAGATGAACGGTAAACATGACTGTAGATTTAAATTATCCTTTACAAACATAGATAATATGTTAGCCAAATGACCAGTGACATAATCGTTAAAGTGAATACAGTTTTTATTGGCGATATCTAGCCAACTGACCAGTTACATAATCGTTAAAGTGAATACAGTTTTTATTGGCGATATATTCTTATCTTTAATATAAATTAACATCGAGATGTCGTTAAATGAAGTGGATACCTTGCATTTATCATGCTTTTTAATAAGATATGGTCAAATCGCTGAAAGACCCCCTTCTAAACTATTGAAAAATATCATTCTTCATTGACAATAATATCTTGGTGTAAATAAGATACACCCATTCGGACTAACGCCCTCAAGGTGTATCCAATGACTCTGATCATAGATATAATAGCTATTATTTCTATGCTCCGATAATAAAAATATCTCAAGTCATACATTCGAAACTAAACACATGTAGTAAAAATAATCTTTTACAACATTTACAACACATTTGATCAAAAAGTTAGCGCTGAAAGGCGACAATTTGTTACATATTTATTTGTGCACATTTTCCGCATTGGAGAAATATTTTTATGATTGAATAAATAAAAATATATATATTAAATTGCATTCTTTGATTTGTTATCAGCACACAGGCTTTTATCAACATCAAAGTCCTAGCCGGTGGAAACAGCTTCCTTTATAACAACGACCTTTACAGGAGAAGCCACAATATGTTGCGGAATTTGAAATACAAAAAAATGACAAGGATTTGTTAATGTGAAGAAATCCACATACATGTATGTTTGTGTAATTTCTTGTTATCCCTTGTGGGCCCGATTTGGTTAATAAAATACTGGATTTTTATTTGATCATTTGACTATAAAAATAACGGCGGATACAAAAATATAAGTGAATAAATATTTATAGCTGCTATTAAAACTTGTGAACTGGATGAAATCATCACTTTTAAGTGCTTTTTCTTGGTTAACCTTCGTTTTTATGAACGCCAAACTTTAAAAGTTCAGAAAGCTATATATAATGTTTTAGACGATCAGGCGGACCTAAAATGAATAGCAAATATCGTCTCTGGTCAACTTTGGGATTTGTCAAAAATTAGCAAATAAATAAATTGGTATTCTTCGTCTTGCAAATCAAGCCTGATATTACATAATACTGTGAGCACTTTTTTCTATTAGTTTGTAAGACCATTTACTTCCATGGTGAAAAAACCCTCATCAATGATACCAGTGAGACTGTATGTAGCAACAGATAGTGCAGATCTCAAATCCACTTGACATATCACCAGTATGGGGTTCTTATGAACTAAAAAAAAAACTGTAATACAATGTTGGGGGTCGTCGAATAAAACCCCTTGAAACACTGTATGGGATGTACCCTTGATAACCCGACACCATATTCTTGAGATAAGATATTTACTTGATAACAGATATATACCCGTTTCTTTAGGTAGATGATAAGTACAATGTGTTTAAATATATTACACAATCTGTCCATGATTAATCATTTTAACGGAAATTCAGTTTATAACATTTACATAATACAGAAATTGAGAAAAAAAAAACATGTATTCCATCTTCATTTTATTTGCATTATTCGGCATTTTATATGGTAATTTTGTATTTTTTCACTTACGGCATTATTCTGCCAAATTTAAAAATTAGACTTATATAACCAGATGTTTTTTTTTATTATTGCAAATCAAGCTTTACATTGCATAACATTATCCTTCGCATTCAAAGTTTATGACAATTCCCAGGTCTCTATAATTCCAATTTTCAGAGTAAATTTATTGAGGGTAGATTTTGCAGGCAAGCTGTTTTACATGTAGAAAAGACGAAGAACGTCGGAGTCATGGCTTTCCAGTTGAAACGCTATTTCAAGTTTATAGCGAAGCCCTGATTTCAAATAAACTAATTGTTTATGTCCAATTTGTTTATTTTAGTATATTCATCTTGTTTGGTTTCCATAACTTTTGAACTTAAGCAGTCTTGTTGAAGTTTAAGTGTCAATCTTTGTAAGAATCAGGCAATTTAGAAGAATTTCAAAACATGGCAGCAAAAAAAAACCCACCAACCTTACTATCCTATTTTGAAGTTATCCTCATCCTGAGTTAAAATGGTAGGTTTTGGTTATTTTAGATAACTTTTGGTTAAAATGATAGCAAATTACGGAGTTACCTCCCGTTAATTGTTAATTTCTAGTGTATTTCAACCAAATCATATCTTGAAATACCAGAACAGGAAAAAACGAATGTTTTTTCGTGCACCATTAAACATTTGAACATAAATTATTGTAAACCTGAGTGGGTTTTTGTTTGTCATGTTTTCACCACTGCCAGATTCTTTGGCAGATTGGCACTTTAAAATACAGAAATTCAAAGCAGAAGCATCTAAAGGCGATACGTTTTATTATGATTTGGAAACTATAGTCCTTACTTACAGCAAACAAATGACACATGGTGACGGAGAGTCCAATAGACAATGGTCCAGACCCTTTCAAGTCGGTTCTCTTTCCATCACATGCTGCAAACACTGTGAACACGAGTACAAACGTAATCATGAATTCTACGCCAAACGCTCGTCCAGCCTCCATTTCCTTATTTAACCCAGTAGTTCCAAGCGCACCCCAGCGCTGGTAAGGTGTCACACCTTTTAAAATGAGTGCTCCAAGAATTGCTCCGATACACTGAGCCGCAATGTAAAAAATCGCTTTTGCGAAGCTTATTCGTCTAGTTATAAAAAATGCACTGGTTACAGCTGGGTTAATGTGACCACCACTAACATGTGCAATTCCCCATACAATGGTTCCAACACTTAGACCAAAACAGAATGCTATCTGGACGATTGGGTTATAGTTCGTCTTCTCCTCATCCCACGAGAGACACGAGCCGCAGCCTACGAACACAAGCAGCAAAGTTCCAATTAATTCAGCTACTACCGCTCTCCAGAAATATACAGACTTCAAATCGTCAATACTGGTAGCCATTCTCAAAGTAACAAGCAAATTAGATCTACTCATTTAGATGTGATTGAAGCATGTCCATCAAAGTGATCAGTTAAGTATGCCTGTATCTGTAAAATATAACTATTTTGTATGACGGTTAAGAGGAGCACTGATAGTATACCTGTACATATCAATTCTTCTATTTACCTACATTGTCGTCAGGTTGATAAACGAGGGCCTCTACCGATTAAACCAACATCGACTTTCTGATTTAAAAATTATCATCAGATTTCGGACCTTACTGCTGGACAGTGGACGAATTTCTTAACAACATTTGAATCCGAATACTTTCTATGGCTAGGTTGTACGCTTTTATTTGTTTGTTGATATTTCTGGCTTATTTATCAAACGTCACCCTTAAATATTTAATCCACTTTTGTTTGCCACTCGACCGAGAATCTTTTAAGTTTACATATCTCAACAGATTAATTGTTTTTGAATTTGGTGGTTTAATTCAAATCTATATTTTTATTTCGAGTATACATCCTACATACAAGGCCATCTAGAAAGAATTAATCATATGTTTAGTATGTGATATTTAGATTTTTTTTTTTTTTTTTTAATTACGGATAAGGATGAACCAAATACATAGAATACTCATACTTTTTTCATATGAAAACCCTATTGAAGAAGAATTATCAAATTAAAACATGTAAAGCAGTTCTGTCAACCCTTTCAGAATATAAATATTTCCATGTCGGATAGTTTAAGGTACAATATACAGATAAAGAAGTAATCTTTTTAATGGGAAAAGGAGAGATGGGTTTTTGGTATTAACAAAATCATAGCTATGTGATAAAAGTTGAACATCGATATACTATACTGTTGACTCTAACAACAATACACTCTAGAATGGATATCAAAAAGTGAAATTTCTTATACTTTGTTTTGGTTATTCGAATATGTCATTTCCCCGTCCATTTTCCTTCTCGTTATTTACATTTTACTATGTTCTGTTTAGTGTTTGGCATTTTTTATTTGAAAAATCAACGATTGACATCAAACAAATCATCAATTTGCTTAGTCCTTAAGGCAATTTCCCGTTAATTTTCCTTTTTGTTATTCTCGATATTTTTTTAATTTTATTTTATTAAACGTCAACTTGCATCCCCACTTGTAAATCTTTGTCATATCCCACCATGCAATTTCTCTTTCGTTTTTACCGTTTGGTTATTCGTATTTTTCATCAAGTTGATAATTCGCCACCATGCACAGTTTGAAAGTTATTGACGGACACTCTATTTTTAAGAATAACTTAAAATTTACTTTATTTCAAATGTCACCAGTTGTCATCTCACCATGTACAGTTTTATTTTTCCTATGCAACGAAGCCATTTCCGTTCGCATCTCAAATGAATATGAAATTGGACGAGGAACACGATAGTTTGTCAGTCTACAAACTTTGATGGCAAATAACCAAAATGAAAATGTCATGGTTGAAGAACAAAATTTAACATGAAAACCGATGACCGTTGACTCCCAAAATAACAAAGATTAAAAGTTTTGGCCGCTCTATAATAATCTCTGAAAGTTTCAAGAAACACAAAGTCAGGTTGTATTGTTGTATTGTATTACTAATGTCTAATATCTAATATAAAACAACTACAATATGAAAAACCGGCAAATATTATTCTTTCAGAAACTGATTTATAAGCTGTATGCCGTAAGGAAATTCCAACACTATTATAACTTATCATGCACCCATAGTTTCTTTGCCAATTCAAATCTACCCCTAAAATGACTGAGAAAGAATCGTCTAATTTATTCAGCCCCGAAATGATTCACTGAGAAGACTGAAGACAAGGTGACATATTCTATGTGGGTGTGCACTTATGTAATACAGTGAAACCTGTATCTTTACGTAATCTTGCGTAAACCGAAAACCAGGTATAAACCATACATATTCTTAGGTCCAGTCATATCAAAATGTATGTGTTGTGAACCTGATTGAACCGAACGTCTGCCAAAACCGAACTGTTGGCGGATCCAGAAATTTTCATAAGGGGGGCCCACTGACTGCCTAAGAGGGGGCCCGCTCCAGTCATACTTCAGTGACTCCCTATATAATCAACCAAATTTTCCCACAAAAGGGGTGGCCGGGCACCTTGGGCCCCTAATCCGCCTCTGGAACAAAATCTTAAGTCCCGAAGAGGTTCGGTTTAGACAGGTTTCACTGTATATATTAAATTCCATGACCATTACTTTACATATAATCAGTTCCTTGTTTTTGGTCTTAGGTTAAATAAGGACATGTGGTAGGATTGCCAAAGACACAACCATCTACAAAAGACCAAAGAAAAAGGATACAAACAACTACAGGTCACCGTACGGCCTTCAACAATGAGCAAAAGCCATACCTAATTGTAAAATATAGTGGTACCGAGATGACAAAAGTTGAAACAATTCAAAAAACAGAACCAACGGCATGATTTAGTATTAATATATAGACGAAAAACGATTATGACAGACAACAACCAACGAAACCACTAGACTAAATGCTTCTGACCTGGAACAAGCACATAAAGAGCGGGGTTAACAATGTTTGTGGGCGTTCAACTCCCCTAACATAGGACAGTGGCGCAACAGTTCAACTTTAGAACAAAATGTAAAAATCTTCAAGAAGGGTTTGACTCATCAGATCGGTATCAATGGATTAACAGTCTGGAAAAGCATGTCCCTTGGCTCGGTGGTCTCGTGGCATGTTTGCCTTCAGTTCGAGAAGACATGGATTATATATCCGAATTAATCAAATCAAAGACTCTAAAATTAGTTATTTGGTGCCCTTCGCCAAATGCTCGAAATTTATAGATTAGTAAGAGCAAGAACTTTTTAGCTCGTATTCAGAATAATGTTTTGAGTATGGCGCTATATCTTCCAGAGGAGTGAAAACTAGTGAGCTAGTACGTTAAAGATCCGAATCAGCTTGTTGATCTAGTACACTACAGTTTGTATTCTTACAACATGTGTGGTCCTGATTATTCAATGTTATATAAATTTGTTGCTTGACGTTACGCACGTATTACTCAATCAATCATCCACTCAATAACAGGGAATTTTCGTATCGGATTTGTAACCCGTTTTTCTAACTTATAATCGGAATGATATAAAAAAAAGTCTACTCATTCAAATAACAATGAACATTTTGGGGATGTTTAAGTATGTAGAAAGATTCAGTAGCGATTGTTTTTAAGAATTAGCCAGAATTAAATAGTGATAACATTTTTTAATTTTATTTTCATACCTTAAAGTGTAAGTTATGTCTAGAAATAATATAACTTGCCTGGTTTGTTAAGAAATTTTACTTTTGTCAAACAAATATCGACTAATTATGACGAACGATAAACCTCAAATGAATTACCTACATCACGTGTCGTTTTATGACGAAGAACGTTTAGGGTTATTAATTTATGTACATTCAGGATGGTTGTTTCCTTACTAATTTAACAGTAGGCTATACGTAATATTGCAAATTATTAAATCACGAAACACCTTGTTGGGCGGTGCTTGAATTTATAAATATCATTTAATTTCGGTAATTAAACAATCAGATGACCTGAAATAAAACATCTGGCTTTATTATACAGATTAATCATTTTAACTTTAATTATTTCATTTGTAAAAAAAATTGTATCTGCATGGTAATCATATAATAATAATTAATGGAAATAAAACATTTTGTTTTCCTTCTATAATAATTATAACCCTTTTTTAAAATAAAATCGGTAATAAAGATAAAAAAACTAAGTCTAATGAAATGCTTATTGCACTTGTTTGTGGTATTATGCATCTACCAGGTAGGGTACAACCCCCCAAATGAGGGGTAACCCCTCAATGTAAGGACTATCCCTTTTATGAGGGGTACATTTCAAGCGATAAAAAATATGTTTTTGCTAAAACCACTTTTTAGTACAAATGAGCACATATTTATATTATTTGAAGAAACTTTTCCCAAAGAACTATACATCTATCTGGTATTATATGGTCAAACATGTCTAAGAATTTGTGATATTCCTGGACTTATATCTTCGTTAAAATTAAAAATAATTGGACCCCTCTTTTAGAAAAGTTGTTCCAAATATAATGAATTTTCCCACTTTTAAGTTAAAAAATCTAAATTTTTCTTTTTTCTTTTTTACAACAGTAAAATGACCCCTTGTCTTAGGGACAGTCCCTCATTTGGGAGGTTGTTCCCAACCTGTCTACGGTTAAGTATGCACTTATTGAAGTTTCAAAGAACGCATAAACAATTTACCAGTAAAGAAGACGTGGCATCTGTATTCCTCTCGTTCCAAATTATGATATTTAGATATGATAATGTAATTCTCCAAATATGTTCTTCTTTTGTTTTTTGGGGGGGGAAGGTATCCCACAAATCGTTGAAATATACTAATGCAATATTTTCTTAAAGTTCAAATGAAATCAGCTCGTTTCTCTTATTTTTGTAAGTAATACAAATAGAAAAAGAATACGAAAAGAATAAAAAAAAAAACAATCACGTCTCTATACCTGAAAGTGAGGTTAATGTACAGATATTTTTTTTTTCTTAGACAAGTTCGTGCGTGGATGATAAATAAATGACAGGGAATTCAACCTCACCGTAGTAAATATGATATTGAAGTGATACAAATCAGTATACTCTGGTTTGTTGTTATATATTACATTAATAGTTGTATATTACAGTTACATGTATTTATAATTTTCACCCATTTGTATATCATTCTATTCTACTACATTAATAATAGTGCAGTGCAAGTGCATTGTGGACACTCTTCTGTGATAATTCGATTTTTCTGATAGATTGGATTTGAGTAGGCATTCATATTTTCCCGCCAAACTTTCAATCTCCCATGCAGAGTTATCGGTCCTTGAGAGAGAGCGAGGACCGATAACTCTGCATGGGAGATTGCAAACGTTCTTGAGATATTCTCCCGCATGCGTTAACACACATTTTCTGTACGTGTGCATAGATATTAAAGATTTTTTACTTATATATATATTTCTAACGACAAAACATTTTCATATTATTAATTTATGTTATAATAAAATTATTTTTATGAGTATCCATTGAAAAAATGAATTTATAACAAGCGATAAAGAATGACTTTGCACTCGATAATGTCCGCGTATTTATCATGTTTATAGATCGGTTACAATCCCAACACGAAAGTTACGTAATGGAAATCTAGGCGACAGCAATACACCGGAATGCCCTCACGGTCATCCGATGTAAAAAGTGGAAGTCCATAAAAACTGACAAAATCAAACGCTATCAATTAACGGAACAAGTGAAAAACAACTGTCATATTCCTGAATTGGTACGGGAAATTGAAATATTCACAATACTAGTTATCGGACTTCTATTGGTTGATTTGATTAGGAAAAATACTCCTAAATCATTATCAAAATTTCGAAAATGAACCCGACCTTTAAAGTCCTAATCTTTACACAAACTTGTCTGTCCTCTCTTACCTTGACGCACAAACTCCCAACTTCATTCAGCAAAATAGAAATAACAAAATCGTGTTGCACAATTTACTGCTGAACCCAAGTATATCCTAGACTAACCGGTTTCTCTAAATGTAGTTGTGGCTAACTAAATTGACCATTCAACTGCCAGTTTATCCACGGTTTATTCAAGAAGTAAATGTGTCCAATTTATAGTATTATATGTGTTAGAATTAATTGTTATAAAGATTTAATGTTGATAATACCTACAGCCAAATAAACAGCGCACATGATGATTAAGGAATCGTAAATAATTCTAAGCTATTATAGTGTTAGTATTATACTGGTCATTTTTTTAATCCATCTTTAAATTTCATTAAACAAACACAGGATAATTTTTACCTACTCCATTGAAAACGTCTGGATGTAAAGGTATTATATCTATGTTCAAATATTTTATGCCTGAGGGAGTTTGAACTTAGTTTTTTTTAATCATTTCTCATTTTATCAGTATAATTTTATTGCAAAACTATGTTATAAAGTATGTCGGTCATATTTGTTATTCGTAAATTATTTTGTTGAGAATTAGGCAGTTCGTTTTCTCGTTCAATTGTTTCACATTTTTCATATCGGGGCCTTTTATAGCCAACTATATCGTATGGGTTTTCTCATTGTTGGAAGGCCATACGGTTGCCCATACTTGCTTACGTCCATTTCATTTGAACTCTGGTGGATAGTTGTCTCATTTGGCAATCATACCACACATCTCCTTATCTTTATATAAATTAGGTTAGTACCTAAGTGAAATGCCATACTACTGATCTGATTATAAGTCATATATAGAGGAAAGAAACAAGAGTAAAAATAAAAGTAATCGCGTAAAGTGCAAACAAACAAATATGTAGTACGGGTAAAAAAAAATAGAGGCGGAATATGCCCAAGGGATATTCAATATCATAATATACAAACTGTCAAAGTTAACACCATGAAAAAAAAGAAAACCGACTAAAAGACAAACAACAATCTACAAAACACAATTAATAAATTGAGATTGACACAGAGGACATTTGTGATCTATGACAGGTTGTCACAAGAGACGTGAGATTAAGACGAAGACATGTGGGGTTTATGACAGGTTGTCACAAGTGACGTGAGATTATGACGAAGACATGTGGGAACTATGGCAGGTTGTAACAAGTGACGTGAGATTAAGACGAAGACATGTGGGGTCTATGACAGGTTGTCACAAGTGACGTGAAATTAAGACGAAGACATGTGGGGTCTATGACAGGTTGTCACAAGTGACGTGAGATTAAGACGAAGACATGTGGGGTCTATGACAGGTTGTAACAAGTGACGTGAGATTAAGACGAAGACATGTGGGGTCTATGACAGGTTGTCACAAGTGCCGTTAGATTTAGAAGAAGACATGTGGGGTCTATGACAGGTTGTCACAAGTGACGTAAGATTAAGACGAAGACATGTCGGGTTTATGACAGGTTGTCACAAGTGACGTGAGAATATGACGAAGACATGTGGGAACTATGGCAGGTTGTCACAAGTGACGTGAGATTAAGACGTAGACACGTGGGATCTGTGGCAGGTTGTCACAATGAAGTGAGATTAAGACGAAGACATGTGGGGTCTGTGACAGAATGTCACAAATGACGTAAGATTTAGACAAAGACATATGGGGTCTATGAAAGGTTGTCACAAGTGACGTAAGATTAAGAAGAAGACATATGGGGTCAATGACAGTTTGTCACAAGTGACGTAATATTAAGACGAAGACATATGGGGCCTATGACAGGTTGTCACAAGTGGCATAAGATTAAGACGAAGACATATGGGGTCTATTACAGGTTGTCATAAGTGACGTGAGATTGAGACGAAGACACGTGGGGTCTATGACAAGTGACGTGAGATTATAACGAAGACATATGGGATCTATGGCAGGTTGTCACAAGTGACGTGAGATTAAGACGAAGGCACGCGGGGTCTATGACAGGTTGTCACAAGTGATGTGAGATTATGACGATGACATGTGGGATCTATGACAGGTTGTCACAAGTGACGTGAGATTAAGGCACCGTAACGAAAAATCAGTCTTCCTTCCTCGTTAACTTAATGGAGACGTTTCTGAGTTGAGAGTATCCCCTGTAATGGACATCAACATAATAAGTTGGCAATACTAAAACTGACATCAACGCGTCTGTCATAGATACCCTAGTTTTCAGTAGTCAGTGCTTCGCCACTGACATGATTTATAACATTCTTTTCTAAAATTTCCAGTTGATAGATTAAGAAATGATTAAGAAACTAATCATGCCAGTACCAAAGTAGCTACTAGACTGGTGATAGACCGGGGACTAACAGTCCACTAGCAGTCGTATGAATAACAATAACGGTATCAATTTTAGTGAAGCATGACCTGCTTACCAGCCGGAGCAACTGAATTCAAGCTCGAGTTTTCGTGAGGTTTGTGTAACTCAATCTTTAGATTTTTGTGTAGTGATTTGTGGTGTTGTTTGTTTCTTATGACATTTTCCTTTTTTTTTATTCTTATTGATTTTGATTGCTCCTGTGTATCGTCCCCCCTTTTGGATTATTTTTATTTTTTTCTAGTTGTGAAAAAAAACTCAATATATTAATCTTTCATCTCAGACAAATTGTAATAATTGATTGATTGATTGATGGTTGCTTAACGTCCAGTGGCAAATATTTCATGAATGTTCATGACGACAAATTATGATAATAATGACAATAAAAGTAAGAAAAATACTCATCAAAGATACTAGGTACCAGGCCTATATTTTTTTTTCGATATACGCATGTTTTGTGTCATAACACGCATTATTGACACTAGAATCGAAACAGTTGGAAGGCCAAATCAATAACGATGTTGAAGAGAATATAAAACCAAATATTCCAAAAAGTTTGCCAAATCCGGCTAATGCCATCTATGTCAATGGGGAGAAAAACATTTTTTAACATTTTATGGACCGAAAGTTGCCTTATCAATTATATTTAATGTCAGCAACGTGTTGGCTACTATGTTGGAGATATCAACGAGGACGTAACGTCTACCAGCATTGACATAGACCATGCAGTTGTACAAACTCACCAAAGATAACGGACTTATTAAGTACACTCGACACGCGGTTTTTTATTTCTGTATATAACCTATCTAATAGAAAATGAAAATAAAAATACATATAAATGAAAAAGCACAACAACAAAGCAGTATGTTTGTGGCTAATTTCTGTTTAATCTATTTACACTGGTTTTAGACTTGGGTCAATAAGAATTGACATATTGCATATACATCTGTCTGTTATTATTTTTCAATTCTAAACATATCTTATTGATAATCACCTGTTACATCAGCATTAAGTTGCCCTGGGATGCAACTAAGATGTTCCCATATTATTATAGAATCTTGTTTACCGTGAGAAATGTAAACGAAAAAAATCTCCCATCATAGATAATCAAATACTGTTTATATAGGTATACGTCCAAACATATATAATCAGTTGGAAAAAGTATTCATTTAATCTTTGCATATATATCTTTTTTTATAAAAACTTAAACTTCTAGTATTCTACAATTTCGTTACATCGGTCTATTGTTGAAAGCTGTAAGTTGGTCTTTATTTTTCTTTGGGTTATTTTTGTCGTTGGGTTGTTGTATATTAGCGTATACCCCACTTATCCTGTTATCCATATCAAACACAGTCCTTATGCAATCAGACGGCTTGATAAATGTCGGACAAGATAATAAAGATCAAATTTAAACTCAAAATATATCTTGAGATTAATATATTATCATTATTTCTGATTATTAAACTTGATATTGACTCCAAGTATCCCGAGAATGTTGTGGGAAATCCATGTTAACCTATTATTATCAAATCAAGTGTATACGAACTAATAAGAATTTCGCTAGAGTGTGCATTTTTTTTTAATTTATTTTGTAAATATGTGTAGGCTCAATCCTTTTTTTAATCAGCTTTATTACAATAAGAATTCTTTTTCAATCATTATTATGGTCATGAAAATAGGCGATTATGACGTTTCATACAGTTGCTCAAATTGCAGCCATCTGAAAAAGGGAATCATTTTCCTGTTCGATGTTAAATAAACTTATTTGTTGTCAATGTCAGGTTGATTTAATGTAAAAACAAAAATACTGGTCTTTTATTCGACATAAAGTTTGAATGGAATCATACGAGCGCGATTCTTACTTTAAGTGATAATATAGTCACCGGGCACTCATTCGGTATTTTAATAGGTATTGACACTGCAAAAAACGAGAAAAAGAACTTTTCATAGTGCAAACTTCAATTCGACAATAACTATGAGAAGAAATAAAAGTAAAAATCAATATTGAAAATCACTAAGAAAAGAAGATACAAATGAAATTTTAAAATGTGGTCTCTATGGTAATCGCATCTATCCCATTTAACTTGATATTATAAAATAAAGTAAGGTTCACTAACCTAGGTTGAGAAACATCTAATATTTGACCTAAAAATCGCGTGAAAACTAAAATTGAACATCTTGTTACTATGTAGCACCATTCCAGCAGTAAATTCATATAGGCTATATATGTATCCCTGTTGGTATAGGATATTCTTGAGTTTTCTATCATGATTTTCTCGAAAGAGGGTTGCTGCTTACAATAAAGCTATAAAAGGGCTATCTTAAGTAAAGCTGGAGTCTTCTCTTCAGGAGTTTTATGGAATCCATCATGATTCGACTGACCGTTATTGAATACATATGTCTTAGATGATTATATTAAACTTGTCCCAAATGAAAGGTTAAACCTGGATATAGTCAAAACAGTATGTCCCAACTTAAACTTAAGATGAGTATTTTATAGCTAGCTACGCTTCTCACTTGTATGACAGTCGTATAGAATTCCTGGTTTGATAGCTAGCTACGCCTCTCACTTGTATGACAGTCGTATAGAATTCCTGGTTTTATAGATAGCTACGCCTCTCACTTGTATGACAGTCGTATAGAATTCCTGGTTTTATAGATAGCTACGCCTCTCACTTGTATGACAGTCGTATAGAATTCCTGGTTTTATAGCTAGCTACGCTTCTCACTTGTATGACAGTCGTATAGAATTCCTGGTTTGA